AAGAAGGGGCGAGAGGGGGCCTGGCCGGCCAGGGCGAGCCTCGGCCACGCACATAGGTTCCCCGTTTTCCACGAAGGCCAGGCGCGCGAGGAGCAGCCCGAGAACCCCAGGGCCCCGCCTGAGGCCAAAATGGTTCCTGGGCGTCGCCGAACGGGTTCGATTCTCATTCTGGGGACCTTCCTGGAAACACTCGCTCCACTCGTGCGTAGAAGCTGCGTCGAACGTCCGTCGATTTGAGCCGACCTTGAGTCGAACCTGCTTCGAACCTGAATCACACTTGAATCGAACTTGAAACGAACTGAGGTCGGACTAGAATCGAACAGATCCGTCAGGTGCGACCCACGAAAACAAGCGTCTCAAATGAGAAGCGATAGGGAGAAAGGTGCACTTCTCGGACCCTCAAGGCCCCCTGTTGGGCCCGGAAGAGCCCCAACATGGGGCCCAGAAGGGCCCCTTTTCTGCAGCCCCCGCGCCCCCCCATGTATCGCCCCCCACCCACGCCCACTACGCGACGCCCAAGGTGCCTGTTTCAGCGTCTGGCCGCGAGTGGAGCGTCCTGTGGTCCCCTTGAAATTCTAGACGCTTCGCGTATCCCCACCAGCCCGTCCAGAAATGAGTCCCAGGGGAGTGGAGGTTATGAGGGAAGCGGGGGAGCATGCAGAAGAACAAAGGGCGGGGTGAGCCGCCATATACCCCAAGAGGGGGGGGGATGTAGGAGGAGCCGTCGTCGTCGGAGTAGGAGGAGGAAGAGGAGGACCAGGAGGAGGAGCAGGAGGAGGAGGAGGAGGATTAGAAGGAGGAGGAGACGGAGGACTGCGAGGACGAGGAGGACGAGAAGGAGGAAAAGGAGAAGGAGGAGGAGGAGGAGGAGGAGGAGGGGGAGGGGGAAGAGGGAGGAGGAAGAAAAAGAGGAGGAGGAGGAGGACAATTGCGAGCTTGGGGGCCTCTTGGGCCGTCCTTGGGGCCTCTTGGCGGTCCCGGGGGCCTCTTGCGTATCTCGGGGAGCCTCTTGTGGCCTCTTGGGGGTCTCTTGGGGGCCTCTTGGAGGACTCTTGGGGGCCTCTTGGGGCCTCTTGGGGCTCTCTTGGGGCGCTCTTGGGGCGCTCTTGGGAGCTTTCGAGGCGCTCTTGGGGCCATCTTGGAGGAGATCTATCAAAGAAGGGGGGGTCCTCAATTAGCGCTGCCCCTCTAGAGTGCCTCGAATCGCTTCTTGGGCCCTTCTTGAGGCCAAAATCTTTCCAAAACCTATGTAAAATCAATGTTTTTTGCTTTCTCGCCTTTTCGCTCTTGGAGCCGTCTTGGGCCATCTTGGGAGGCTCTTGGGCCTCTTGGGGGTCTCTTGGCAGCCTCTTGGAGGCTTCTTGGGGGCCTCTTGGGGCCTCGTGGGGCCGTCTTGGGGCGCTCTTGGGGCGCTCTTGGGAGCCTTCGGGGCGCTCTTGGGGCCATCTTGGAGGAGATCTATCAAAACAGGGGGGGTCGTATATTAGCGTTGCCCCTCTAGAGTGCCTCGAGTCGCCTCTTGGGCCCCCCCGAGAGGCCAAAATCCTTCCAAAACCTAGGTAAAATCAATGTTTTGTGTGTTTCTCGCCTTTTCGCTCTTGGAGATGTCTTGGGCCATCTTGGCCGTCCCAACGACCCGCGGAACGCCCCGTCCAGGTCAGTGGGGAGGGGTAAGGGGAGGGGTAAACCCCCCCCCGAAGGGGAAGAAGGGGGTTGGCAGAGGAAACTCCCTAACCACCTACGCCCTAAAGGCTGGTGGGATTTCTGTATTTTTCCCTAGCAGTGTGTGCCTAAGGGCCTTACTTTGTGACATGGAGCTACGTTGGAGCGTCCTGAGGTCCCCTGGAATCCCACCACCCTTAGGCGTAGGAGGTTTAGGGAGTTTTCCCTGCCAACCCCCTACTTCCCCTTTATTTCCGGGGGGGAGGTTTCACCCCTCCCCTTTAACCCCTCCCCACTACCGGACGGGGCGTTCCGCGGGTCGTTGGGACGGCCAAGATGGCCCAAGACATCTCCAAGAGCGAAAAGGCGAGAAACACACAAAACATTGATTTTACACGACAAGTTTGTGACAAGGAGAAAGAGCGGAAAAGGCTGAGGTGGCTGAGGAAAGAAACACACAAAACATTGATTTTACCTAGGTTTTGGAAGGATTTTGGCCTCTCGGAGGGGCCCAAGAGGCGACTCGAGGCACTCTAGAGGGGCAACGCTAATATACGACCCTCCCCTTTTTTGAT